TACTTAGTAAGCAAGTCTCCAGACCGTCTACGTAGCTCCTGTCTTTAGTTTTCTGAGTGTTGGTCTTTGAAGGATGGCAGCTCGCCAACCCGGCAGCCGCGGTCCGCTGCTGCAGCTGCTCTGTCATCCATGAGCGCATTTACGCCCTCCATGCTCATCCATGAGTGCATTTACGCCCTCCATGCTCATCCATGAGCGCATTTACGCCCTCCATGCTCATCCATGAGTGCATTTACGCCCTCCATGCTCATCCATGAGCGCATTTACGCCCTCCATTCTCATCCATGAGCGCATTTACGCCCTCCATGCTCATCCATGAGCGCATTTACGCACTCCATGCTCATCCATGAGTGCATTTACGCACTCCATTCTCATCCATGAGCGCATTTACGCCCTCCATGCTCATCCATGAGCGCATTTACGCACATCAATGAGCGCATTTGTCAGTAAAGAGCATCAATCAATTTCCTTCCATTGCTCGTGATGAATTTTACAATGAAAATAGTCCCATAAAAAGCAATGATGCATTTTCAACTTTTTTAAAACTCTTAGCTTCAATATTCTATTGCAGCTCAATCAATGCGTGGTTCACTTCACAACGCATTGGTTTTTGCTCACCTTTCCATCGACAACTTTGACAACTGTTTATTTGATGAAAATCCTCATCTTTTTATTTATTTTTATAATATTTTAATTGATGAGGTTCCTCATTTGCCCTAACAATCATTTCCCTAGCGTTATATCTGCACTCCACAAACGTCGGTATTTTACTGAATGAGATTCGTGACTTCCAGCCAACAAGTGATACTCAAAGGCCACAAAATTCATTTCCGTTTATAAAATTTCAGCGAGGCCCATTCAGATTGTTATAAATGTTCATTAATTATCTGGTGAATTTTTTATTATCTCAGAGTATTCTGACAGTCATTAGTTACTTCGGATACAAATAACTTATTTTCAATCCAGAATTTTTTGTGACATTTCCTCACTACGTTAAGTGTGCGCGGAATTGCCACTTCAAGGTTTAACCGCCAGCTTTGGAATCCCGCCAGAAAAAAATCGCATTGAAATCCTGAGATTGGCTCTAAAGCTCCGACTTGAGCGACAGAGACCCGACTTTGTCTTGCGCTTTCGTCGCGCTCGAGATTCGTGAATCTATTCTTTCTGCTCAATTCGTAAGCAATGTCCACTCGAGATCCGGGCCGCAGATTTTTTGCTAGAAGGAACGGCGGAAACACTAAAATTTAGTGGCCTGTAAACTAATCTTATCAATGTCCATCCCATTGTACGTATAAATTTAAAGCAAATAACTGGTTATGCAATTAATAAGGAAGGATTTGTAGTTGTTTCATCCGGTTGTTGAGGATTAGTAAGCCTTCAGTTGTACATTTCTATACATTCTCTAGTAAAATAATAAATATACTATTTAATTACCATTTTTAGTTCTGTTATTAATTTTGACATTGTTGGCATTCAATTGCAGAAGTGTTTTCTATTCCCAGTTTGGTCATTCGTCTGCATGTTTTGTCAATGGCAAGACGGCACTCAAGAGAGGCGAGCACCGATCTCTGTCACGGCGCCCAATACATGCAAATAGATCGAACTGACGTCGTATTTTAGGGAAGCCAGCGGCGTAAGATCTTGCGTTATTCAAAGTCATCTCCTAAGCAACCAAATCAAACATTTTTATTGGCCACATCCGTATCGCTAAACAGAAACTGAGGCGGACGTGTGTGAGTGAAATTTCAGGTGATAACGCCTCACTGAATGCACCATTTATATTTTGATAACAGAAATACCATTGAAATTTTCAAAAATTATTCGACTCTAATTTAAATAATTGTTTGAATCATTTTTACTTTGAATCATTTTCCTTAAGGGAGTAAGTTTATTGCGGTGCGTAATTGTATTAAATTAAAAAAAATAATAATAATCATTCACTCAAATTACGTTACATTAAAATTTCTTGAATGATAGAACGCTGTCACGGATCGCAGCTTAGTTAGTAACCACATTTAATATTGTCAGAATTTAAATATGAAATTCATATACACCTTATAACCTGTACGATAACGTTCGAAACGCCAGCTCGTCTGCTCCCAAAAAATGAACGTCAAAACAAAATAAAAAAGAGCGCCATAGCAACAAAGCGATCGTATTGAACGACTTGTGTGGCTCTATTGAATAGAACCTTACGAGCGGAGCCTGTATAGCGGGCACCGTTAAAACGTACATTAACACCTACTATTTTCCAACCAGAGACCCGTAAACGGGTGAATCCATAGGCCAGTGAAGGAAAAAGCGTTCCGCCATCTCGGAAAATCCACCGTAGCTGAGAAATTAAGCGAAAAAATTCACCGCCATCGAGCCGGTAGCATGAGAAGGAGTGAAGAAGCTGTGCTGACAATTCAGTGCATATAATAAGTAAATATATAAACGAAAGTTATCTCAAAAAGTTAAATTTGGTTTCTTGTCTCGTAAAACAAACCTAAAGAATTCTGTCAACGATTCAGTGAGCTAAATACGAGATTTGAAGGTACGATTTGAATGCTGAATAACCAATATAAGAAACATATTGTGAAACAGGAGCGGTGCAACAATATTGCCGTCGTTTATATAGTCGATAATAAGTTATTATATGACCTATAGGAATGAATTGCATCAAGATAAATAGTAGTATATGTGAAATCTTAGCCAATCTAAACAGACTCAAATTGTGATTTAAGTTCTTTTGTTGAAAGTTATTCGAAAATTGGTTGAAGAGAAGCAGCAAAATATATTCGAGTCTTGCATTACATTTCTGATTGGTGCTTCGCGAAAGATCAAAGAATAACAAAAATTGTTCAACTTTCTTCATTATTTTATCAACCGTGCATAGAATATAATTACCCGTAGAAATAATTTTATTACCCGTCGATAGAGCATTTTTAACCACCGAAAGAATTTTATTACGCTTCGATATTAGTATGGACTTACTCTTTTATTACACTCCTATTATCACTCAATCTAACATTTTTGCTCATCCATTGAATTTTATTACACGTCACTACTGCTTTCTTACAGTCGATAAAATTCAAGTACCGGCTGATAACGTTTTATTTGCTGTTTACAAAATATCAGTAAATTGTCAGATTACATGAGATTTGGCCAGCTGTTCACTTTAAATTAATTTTACCCTCATCTTACCCTCATTTTGCCGCATTTTACTCTCATTTTACTGTCACTTTACCCTCACTTTACCCACAGTTTCCCTCACTCTCCACACATTTTCCCTCACTTTGCCTTCCTTTTTACCCTCACTTAGCCCTCAATTTACTCTCATTTTAATCTCACTTTACTCTAATTTTACCCTCCTTTACCCTCTTTTTACCCATCGTTGAGCTCATCATTCACCATCTCACTACCAGCCCCAGCTGCTGTCAATAAGGGCAGCTCATCGCTGGTGTTCATCACCCCTGCTGCTCATCACTCTGATGCGATCACCAGAAGTTGATGTAATTTGTCTCTTCTACACTCAGAGAAATAAGTGAAACAAAGTTTAAATAGAGATGCACGTTCCGTCCTGATGTGGGCAAACTTAGCCCAGTTTCGCCCGACAGAAGGCCGTATCAGTGCTACTTCCACTCTCTGCTTGTGCTCTGGGTTAGAAGTGTGTCATTATTTGGACAATATGGCTCATTGTTTTTTGTGAGTGTAGAGTATACTCAAAAAAATAAATTAATATGGAGATTCATTTGAAGGTGTGCAGCGCGAGACATGTTGTTAAATGAGTCGCTATTAATCAATTGTTTCACGACTCATTTTCGCCCATCATTTAAAACTTTGAAAGTGGGTGTAACCGACGAAATAAAATGAGTCGTGGAACGAAAATGAGTCAATTCGAGAATCTATTGACTCAAGAAAAAACTCACGTTAGTGAATATTCATGACTGGCATTTAGTAAGGCAACCAGACATGCGTTTTTTGGGGATAAATATTTAAAGTTAGTATAGCTTTAGTTGATCTATTATTAGTTAATAATATGCCTTTCACAAAAAATATATTGATGAATACCTTCAATATATACCAGGATAATTGGCCCCTTTTCCTCAATTTCTCTGCGTCATTTTCTTTCTTGCTATCACACCTCGTCTTTCTCCTGCTCTTTATCACTTACCTTTCTTCTTTTCTTCTATTCACTGTTTCCACGTTCACTAGCTTACTCCTCACCCTCATACTTCTACACTTACACTCTTTTCTCTCACTCCCTCCCCACCTCTCTAACTATTTTTACTCGCCAAATTACTAAATACTTTCACTCATATTTTATTCTTTCCTCCCATCCTCTCAGACCATTCATACTCCTCACTCCCATAAGCTCTCTTTTCCTCCTTTCTCACAATCCCTACCTATCTCTCTGATCATTTATACTCCTCGATGATTCACTCCACACCATCATTCCTACTCCCCTTCACCTCCATAGCCATTCATACTCCACACCCTCATACTCCCTCACCTCCCTCCTCGTCCCCTCCTCCCCATCCATTCATTCAGCCTCATCCATCACGCTGTGCAACGCGCCTGTCCAGTCAATCGTTCCGCTCAATGGGGCAGCTAAACGCCTTGCAAATCAAGAAAAAAAAAATCAATCATTTTTTCATCCATTGTCGTTAATATGAAATAAATTTCACATTTTTTTATTGTTTTTTTTTTTAATTTAAAAAATTACTTTGGGTCGAGAAGCAATTTTTTTATTGTATCAATACAATAGGTACACAACCTAGTGCCTTAAACACTAACTACGGGAACTTACCTGCAATGAAAGAATTGATACTACATCTATCGATTATTTTAACAGCAAATATATCAGAACGCAAAAACGCACTAACGACCCTTAATTATAACTTAACTCATACACATATGCGATTTTGATCAATCGTTATAGCAATAAACTTGATTATTAAACAGTTAACTTTTCAGTAGCAGCCTTTAGCATTGTATATCTCCCCGATGTTTTACAGACGGCAGGCCGGTGCTTCACGGTCGCCTCAGGTCTCTCGGCCGCACCTCCAAACGAGCCTCCAGGGCGGCACGCGACCTCAGGACAATACTGGGAATAAGTATATCAACTTTGATTTCGATTTGCTTTCGATTATTCCGATTTGTTTTCTAGTCACATGTAATTTCTCTGTTTTAATCTGTTTTTGAGCGCTAACTAGTAATTATGTTTTGTTGTAAAATATTTAGAAACATTTCACATGACATGTGAAACATGTCTGAAAAATATTTCCATTAAGATACACGGAAAAAAAAATTATTCCAATACAATGATAATTTCTCACAGCCGATTTATGTGATGCTCGTTTCCCCGTGAAATTTAATTAATTGGAAGCTTTCTCTTTCGATGGATCAATCAATGTCTCATCGTGTGGCGGCTATTCCAGGCTCAATAAAATATCATAATAATATCTTTTGCATGAAACTGTTTTCCTCCCATCCGTCTTCGGTCGTAAAGTAAATTATTGTCAAAGTTCCATCATTAGCACAAAGTTCACTGGCACAGCGACAAAGCTTTACGGTTCGCTTGTATCGCCAGAAACTCTCGACCAGAAGCCGTCAGCGAGTTCGGTGTATGATGTTTTTTGAAATACCCTATATATAGCTGAGCGCCACTTCAGGGTAGTTTTCATAGAAATTCCCAATAGCTTTACGGTATTTCAGGGTAGCTTGATATAAATTCCCCATTTCTCGGCAACACTTTAGAGTAGTTTCAAATGTAAATTTAGATTAGTTCCATTTCACGGCAATTCCATGTTGAAATTCTTATTTCTTAGCGCTATTTAAAAGTGTTGTTGCATCGAAATTTCCTCGTAGCGTTATTTCAGGGTTGATTAGTTAAAATATTATCTCAGCTTTTTACTATTACAGAGCAGTTTGGTCAATAATTTTTGTTTGAGAAATGACGTGTCAAAATAGATGTTACATATTTTCTATAGATTGTTAAAAAATTAGGATAGAGTCATGAAAATTCTGTCGTTGCTCATTGTGATTCTTACTAATGTGGCTGTGTGTAACGTGTTTAATTCGGTTGAAAGCAGTTGTATTCATATACGTTTTTCTATATGCGGTTTAACTTGAGACAATGGACAAATTTGTGAATTATAAAATAAATAGATGAATCAGTTATTTATATCGTCAATGACACCAATTACAGAAATTCGTTACAATTAAGATGATACAGTCCAGCTCTACTTTCATACAATCGGCTAGAACAGTGGTGTTAGCAGAAATGAGATCAACTTATCAAAAATTATCTTTTGCGTGGATGTGTCAATTAATATTTATCTCTTCTTTTTGCAGGGTCCGAGTAACGAAGATATAAAGGAGGGGAAAAACGCCGTAGAAAAATTTCCTCTAGATTGGGGTACACTGCGTACTGTACGCATCTTAAGCTCGCTACATTTTCCTTTTACATCCAGATGATTGAAAGTATATGGCAGTAAATACCATCACAGTTCTTCACCATTAGTGTATTTTCTACACAGTAGAGTTGTGCGTATTGGCAATGTACATTGTTGTCTCTAGATAGTGATTGTCGCAACAAAACATAACGAAGAACTTAGCAGGATTCATGACATGATTGATCTGTTAAATGAGTACTATAGACCCGGGATTTGTAAAGATTGCTTCTTCGCATCCTTTCCCACTCTAACGCTAGCTACAGTAAACCTACAATAAAGGCTATAATTCTTTATAGTGGCCCCCATGTATGTTGGAACACAGCTCCACACAATTACATTCCCTAACATATGACCTCATAGATTGAGGCCCAAAAAAGGCATGTCGTTTTTACTTCACTTCAGTAGCTACCTCGTCGGAGGAAATGTACCAATCGATGATGGAGTCGATAAGTTGAACAGAAAGTACACAATTTTAATCTTAGTATCCTTATCGTTGCCATTGGTTACTAAACAGTTTGCAGGGGATCCAATTGAATGTTTCACACCGACTTATTTCACTGAACCACAAGCTCGGTACGTGAATTCTTATTGTTGGACGGCCAGTACGTATTATATCATTCCAGTTGACGAGGAAAAACAATTGGTCACTAGAGTGCACTCTGTAACTTTTGAGGAAGGAGGTACAGCTTCCGTGACAGGCGAAAGAATCAAAGTAAATTACTACCAATGGGCTCCAATAATATTGTTAGTAGAGGCTGGTCTGTTCTATGTTCCATTTGCTATTTGGAACGCCACTGCTAAAAACTCGGGCATCAAGGTCGGTAGGTTGTTAAAGAAAGTAACCATAATTTCTCAATACACTCCCGGCCATCCTGACAGAGACGCACTCATTGTAGAATTTTTGGATCAGTTCAACACCCTCATGGGCGTCGCCAAATGTTGCCCCGGTACAGTGTGCAAATTCGACTGCAGCAGTTCGGCTTCCTGTGCTGGGGCTCCTTCGTCTTCCCTCTTTGTACTGTACATGTTGATAAAACTTTTGTACGTCGTTAATATCATCGTTCAGTATTTCTTACTGACAGTTTTTCTGGGAGAGGGCTACTTGTATCATGGCTTAGAGATTCTCGAAAAGTTAGTTCAGAAAAAAGAGTGGTGGACATCACCGCGATTCCCTTTGCAAACTTTGTGCCAAGTTCGAGCTGCTCAGCAAGGCGCGTTACGAACTTACACATGCCAGTGTGTCCTTCCAATAAACCTGTTCAACGAAAAGATTTTCTCGTTCGTGTGGTTTTTCTTCGCCACACTACTGCCGATCACAATTTATAGTGGCCTAATCTGGGTGTGGCGAACACTGACATGCTCCCGAATAGCCTTCATCCATTACTACTTGTGGCGCACTCGTCGTATAGGCAAGGAGGACCTGTACAACAATGCTAGGAAAATGGCAGTCGATTACCTGGGTTGGGACGGCTGTCTTGTGTTGCGACTCGTTGAAATGAATCACGGAGGAACCATACTCACGACCCTCACAGAGAGGCTTTGGGAGTTTTATGAAGGTCTGGAAAAGGCCCAGCAAGATGGCGGTGACCCGGATACGTTCATGCACCAACGACAACCCCTTTACTCTTGTGGGCCAATTCAACCGCCTCCTGCTGGGGCAGGACCTAGCACACAATCTGCCCCCTATCGCTTCTACGGGAGGCATTTCATCCCGGGGGCTTCAGGAGCATATCCAGGCTACATGTGGAATCACCCCGAATTGGCTTCTCCCAGCTACTCCAGTTACCCCAGAATACGAGGCAAGATAAGGTAACGCCCCCAACTCCTTTGTGTGTGTGTTTAAATCTAATTTGAAAAACTATTTTGCCAACATTTTGTGGCAAATATTTCTGGAAAGATGACGTTTATCAGTTTGAATCTTGGTATAACGTATACTTTCTTAAAACTTCTAATAAAGTAATACATTCTCTGGGAAAAATGTATCCGTTGACCTTAAGTTTTAAAAATATATACAGGCAATTAATATAAAAACGTGGTTTCCTTCCAGGAGATCATCGCGCCGTGGTCTGATTATATAAGGATATGGAGAAAATTGTTAGTTTTATTACATGTAGTATCAAGACATGCAATTCGTTGCTGATTCACGTGAAGGACGTTATATTCACTGGCGTATCCGTTAAGTAAAACGTCCAAGCAATGCATCTTACGCGAAGAATTGTTCTCGAATGCCACGTGCTCCGAAAATGTTCCAGAAATGCCCCTTACGTGTGACTTAAAATGACGTTTGCATTTGCCTGATTGTTTCTAATGGAAACAATGTATTATTAATGTTTGTTGATATAGTTACCCTTCAAGTAGTTGAGAGTTTCAAGTAGATGGACCTATCGAAGTCCCTCTGTTGTAGAATTAGTGTTGAACCTGCGGTGTACCTGCACCATAACCATGCAATGACAGACTCGTCTAAGCCTTATAGATACACCATCATAAAAAACTAATTGACTGTGGATTTTTATGCCAAAAACAATCCAATTTTAAAAATTTGAATAGATGTACTAAAACGTCTGGAGTGTTTAATATCATAAATACTACACGAAGAAATAGTTATAACACATTTTGAGTCTAAAATACTCTCTAGAGCATGGAGCAGGACATATTTCTACATAACAATACAATGCTAATCTAAATTTCCATGCTTGGGCTGGGCGCATATGATCATATATTGCAAGTCTCACACAATTATATAGCGATGGTAAGAAGCTTCAGTAATTTTTGTTACTATAATTCGATTATTCCAGCACGTAAATGGGCTCCTGAATGCAACAATAATGTCTTCGTCATTTCATATTGGCAAAAAGGACTGCAGTATTTATTACTTTAGCTTAATAAGTGTCCAGGGAATACTTGAAGTAACTTATTCTGCCAAACAATCTGACGACGTTGAAAAAGCGAGCATTATCGACGTAAAGGTGCTTCTTATACACGAGGCGACTAGTTGAGTCGACTAGTCGACTCATCTAATATTTGTGATGATTAACGTCTTCAGAGGCGACTTGCTGGTGCATTGCACGCAAAGCAACTCAAGTTGTTTCAAGCCCATGGCCCCAGTACCGCCTCGGCCTTCGTAGTATGCACAATTTCATCGCTCTCTCTTTTGCTCGGCTCACTGTTGCTGTAGTGCGCACAACTGTGGCGCTCTCGCTTGCTTCCACCATGCACACACCTTACTCGACAACTCCCAACGTCGCACTGGCGGACTGCCGACTGTACCAAAAACACACTCCTCGTGTATAGGCTCTCAGCCGGCAAAACTGTAGTCGACTCAAGTAATCGACGCGACTAGTCGCCCCGTATATAAGCACCTTGAGTCAAAAGAAAGAAGTCATTATCGACAGGCGTTCTGCAAAATTAGTGTATATACGTCCAGTAATGAAGACTGTACTCCTTTTTGTCATCCATGTGCTACTAATATTCCTCTTAGCGTTTCTTGACAGCTTATGTTTGTCCCACAAAAATAGAATTATAAAATTCACAGTCAAACGTTGCTTAAACCGTGTTAACCCTATCAGCTGTTGTGATGCCCCTGTATTATCACCCTCGTCTACAGCTTGCCGACATCATAGCTCCCTTCTCTTTTGTATGTTTTTGGTTTATATTAATTATGTGTTGGTAATAGTATTTTATTGTTGGATTCCAAAACGGGGGTAGTCTGCACGACAGAGGATCGCTGTGACAGCTGCGAAGTTTCAACCGATCAACACCCTGCCTTGGAAGCCAAAGTGACACTGACCGACCACCAGATCGAGCCGTTCAGATGAACGCCGCCACGCAGACTACCTCGCTAGATTTTCGGCCAGTCCACTCCCGCCGCCGCAACTCTTCCAGTCTGGTCGCTTCTCTGCAGTCATCAGATGTTCGGTCCTCATCCCACCTGCCATTGAAACTTCTTAGTAACAATTCTACATTATCATCACCTCATTCATCGCTAATGAAAAGCCTTAGTCACTTTGAGAAACGAAATAGAAATCCAAATGTCATTTACGAGCCAACAACTCGAAGTAATCGCGCTGCAAATCTCGAAATTATAGCAATTGAACCATCGCTACATTAACTAATTATCTTCCTAATCCCACCAAGTGCCATTTCCACGGAACCAATAAAATGAGGAACCAATTACACGTGTGAGTATCATGAGTGTCATAAGTGAGTCGACTCTAAAGTAAGTCATAATTGACTGGTGAGTGACTCCTAGAGTCATAAGTGAGTCGACTCGTAAGTGACTCATAATTGACTCGTAGGTGACTCATAACTGACTCGCAAGTGACTTCTAGAGTCATATGTAAGTCGCGGCCACGTTATTTCAATAATATATAAATAGGCCATGGGCCTATTTCTTCAATGCCGACACTTTTATTCTATTTTATTCGCATCGCAGCATTGTGAGGCTCAAACAAGCGCCTACCTACCAACGTGATAGACTCACAGGTTAGGCAGTGGGTCTTTCAATATGATGGCGTAGAATTTGATACTAAACCTAACCCAGTTATAATGGTATTTAGAAACCATTTCCCTGCACTTTTAGGTTTAGAATGCTTGTACCACCAAACATTTCTCTCATTTGAATCGGCATTTGTACCTGTGGGTAGAACTTTGTGTTTTCTTAACTATTAATGTACACGAAACATGAAATGTAATAAGTTTTGGAAGGCTGATGCAACCTAAAGCAAAGTTTACCCTAAATTCAAGAAACTAAGCCCAGTTCTAGAATTTTATATTAGCCAATCTATCACTTCGGTGGCTACTTATCACGAGAACACCACTTAAAAAATATTCAGGCAATAAAACGCATCCAAGTCTCAGATCCTTGATAATGTCCTCTAGTAATTCGAATGGGTTATTTATTAGGTGTTATTTGACTTTGTAAATACGATAATCAGTAATCTCATTTTACAGTTTAGTCTAAGTATGTATAACTTAAGAAAATTTACAAGTGATGTTTTAATTAGATGTAAATATTAATGCCTCAAACTTTGACCTGTCATACTGCCATTCAGAACTCCTCTGTACAGGAAAAAAGTTCGAACTTTCAAGTCTTATTTTCTGTGCGAGTAAAATATTGTTTATACGATATTACTGTTCTATAGAAGTTATTTTTACAAGAAGTAGATCGTGATACTCAAGGTACATTTCCAAACGGAGGCATGCATGCAATGGAGGCATCCATCTATCTATCTAGGGAAAATTTCGTCAAAAATTGTAGGTTCACTATAATTTCCGCTTTGATCTTAGTTTTTTATGCAGCTATAATTCAATTAGATTTTTCGTAGCCGGTTTTAAAGAAAAAACTGCATTGTTTGAGAATGTAGATTGATGTTTGAAAGGTTTTATATGTACTCAGTTCAATATATGAAAATAGTTTTTTTTCAATATCGTAAAGTTAATGCAACTGTACTCTGCATGAATGATACAGAAAATTTGTTTATACTAACTATCCAGTATAACAATAACATTTTTTTTGTAAAATAGTTTGATTTTCATTTTAAAACACCAATTTTCGAAATTAGAAACTTTCATTTAGTGATTTCATGCATGTATAACAGAAACAAATAATTTTTTAAGGAATTTCGTTGCAGTAAACCATAAGAGTTCTTGAATTCAATGATAAAGCACTAAATGAGGATTAGTCACTACTTCCACTTTATATAAATTGTCAAACTACCAATTCAAATCACGTTTTACCCCGCTTCAAGCAAATTAGTGAAGTCATAGATACCTGTTAAAGAATAAAATCAAGTATAATCCTCACTAACACTATAATTGTGAAAATTGCCAGCCACCTTGTTTCCATAAGACATTAAATTTGACAATTTATTCAAATTTCACAGTGATTACATCCCAGATACCAATTAGTTTTTAAGATTAATTCGACTCTAAAAATTGTTTTTACTGCCATGTTCACAGCTCGCTTAAATTATCAGCAAGGACTTCGTTCTGCTTTGCAATGTTTATAAAATTACAACACTAAACGCCAATCTCGATTATCTACCTTAGATAATTATTATTCGTGTTGAATATAGACTTTAATGAGATATTGTTCACAAATAATTTTAAGCTAATAAGTAATCTACTTATAATACCTGCTTCGAATATAACTTCAAGAATTTAACCAGGCATTCAAACGACACGAAAACAATTTTAAGTTGAATTTCATTCAGCTCGTTGAAAGTATATTGAAGGATTTGTATTATATATATTTATGCAGGAGAGTTCGCTGAGAAAAGTTATAATAAATACGAAATTGAATGTCGAACGTTTCATTTGAACCTGACTTGAAAAATAAGTTATATGGCTGGCATTTTCCACCCATTTCTTTACGATCAGTTAACTCAGAGGAACAATGATCTATGTAGAGAAAATTTGGACTACTGAAAATAAATGTTTAATGATGAAAGAATACTGCCAGAACTTGAAAAGTATAAATAAAGTAAGCCTTGATTGAGTCCGTGTTACCAATACCTCTCGGACACTTCTACGGCCGGACTTGCCGCCGGTCTCTAAGTTTCAATGAGCCTAAAATATCTTCCAAACTTATGAACGCAGCTCGATGAAACTTTGCACACCTGTTCACTAGAACCTAACGATGATGTTTAGGTCGAGACTAATTTTTAGATTTCGCCTTCTTTTTCCAGTTATAAGGTTATAGGTCCAAAATTTGCAGTGAGCCAGAGCCTCATATATCTTGTTTACTACTGTTCATATTTGAACGAAACGTTGAATATGCATTCCTAACGGCCGAACAGTGATGTTTAGGTCGTAAATGTTTTTTCCGATTTCGCCATCGGCTGCGTCTCACTGCAAACTTAACAATCGGCCACAGAAATGCTGATCGTTTCTTCGTATCGGGCTTGCCAAGCTCCTGCGTTATCTCGTAACCGCGTTGCTACGCCGCCATGTTTGTTGCACACTCGCGCCTTACCTTACTCTTTCGTTCCTACACGTTGGGATGTTTTGGTGGCAATGGAGAAAGCAAGAGCAAAAAAAAAAAAAAGGACTAAGCTATTGTCAAAAACTCCTTCTTTCAGCGAGAGACCGGTATTTAAGAAAGTTGTTCGACCTTAACGATGTTGGTCCCTACGAAGTGCTGGCAATGCTTGTGGTGTGCGGATTTTGCAAGCCTGCCTCCCGTTTCGCACAGTGATTTACTAAAATATTTGGTGTTTGGTGTCAGCAATTCACCTCACAAGAATTCAAGGCATACAAGACGCTTGCAGCTTTCAATCATTTTGTGGATGGATGGGTGCAGGAGATATGCACCCATAAAACAGCCAACTGCAACAAAACTCATTGCTGCCAAGGTGATGATAATGTATCATGAGAATTCATGACAATGTTGTATGATCTTTATATATTATCACTTTTTATTATTACTTATGTAGCTTTTCTACTGGCAAGTAACAGATTTTGCCCCCAGGAAAATGTATAATAGCATAAAAATTACGCGCAGTAACAGGCATAAATTTCTGCTTTCAGGTGATGCACTCAATTCGGCTGAATGAAAACCTGCTGAAACCTTGGGTCATTGCTGATGCTGACGGCATCATCATATCACCTCATTGCGACTGTGTGGCAGAGATTGGAGAGACTTGTACACATGTTGGAATGGTATTATTCAAAGTCAATGCCATTGTAAGATGCAGAGAGAAAACAAGTTACTCATCGACGTCTTGTGGTAACGTAGTGAACTTTGCTACCTTTACCTCATTTCACGCCTGGTAAACTGAAGAAACGTCCTCCATTGTCTAGTTTTCTGTTTAAATAGTCGTGATAACGACTGGATCAACGGCAAAGTAGAGTCTCATCTCCGAGCAAAGTCTTCAAAAAGAGACAAGCACAGTGATGAGTAGATTGAACACGTAGGTGAAAGCTAGACCGTACAACAAATATGGCAGCCGATCCCAAAATGTTTTCTTCTCGCAGCGAGTCACCGACACGTGGAACAGCCTCCCTGATAGCATCGTTTTCTCTCCGAGTATGAACGCCTTCAAGAACAGACTAGCTGAAGCTATGCAGATGCATATGTTCAGTCTTAAAATGCCTAGCACCTTACGGAACAGGAAATAAGTCCAGCAGTTATCTCAATCAAACGTCAGTTATGGAAAGATCGGGTCCAAAGGCAGGATCCCTTGTGAATCAAGTCACGAAAAGTACAAGAATCTGCAACAGGCCATGGGCATATTTTTTCAGGGCCGACACTTCTATTCTATTCTAAAATGCATCTCGCGATTCGGTGTCATGACGTCATCCTTGCGAGCCCGTACCGCATAACTCATGAACGAAGGCGAAAATAAAAATTGTGTATGGCCTAAACATCACTATTGGGTAATCACTAATGTGTATTCAAAGTTACGTTCAAATCTGACATTGTGATACAAGATTTTTTAGGCTCACTGAGAATTTTATTCCATATAACTCGAGAAGGAAGGCGAAATCGAAAAAAATTATCACGACCTAAACCTCACCGTTAAGGTGCTTGTACACGGGGATAGTGCAGACGGCTAGTAAATCTGGCTAGTGTCGGTCGCCTGGTGACTATCCGGCTAGTACTAGTGAGCCTGTACACACGAGGAGAGTATAAGGTGCCGCTATCTTCTCGTTCGCGCCCGCCAGTGAGTCGTTAGAAGCCGCCGAGTGAGGTCTGTGAAGATGAATAGTGTGATCACCTTCAACAACTCGAGTCTGTACGTCTTTTTTATACTCCATATTCTAGCCCTTAAAAATACAGCGTCGGGAACAACTAAACCCTGACTAATAAGGTCTTCTTTCCGGTAAGAAGTGGCTAGTAGCGCTGATACAGCCATGATGAGAGCATCTGTGCCGCTCCTGTGAAGTATCTTGGGTCACGCGAATCATGGCTTGTTTGAACGATAATGGTTCTAAGAGGAATCCAACAAAGTGGATTCCAGACGATATTCAAATTATTCTTTGAAATATTCCAAAAATATGAATTAAAGTATAATGTTTTCCATGATGGTTACTCCAACAAAATGAAGAGAGAAACGAGTATTTTGAAACGGAAAGAAGACCTTGTTAGTCAGGGTTTAGTTGTTCCCGACGCTGTATTTTTAAGGGCTAGAATATGGAGTATAAAAAAGACGTACAGACTCGAGTTGTTGAAGGTGATCACACTATTCATCTTCACAGACCTCACTCGGCGGCTTCTAACGACTCGCTGGCTGGCGCGAACGAGAAGATAGCGGCACCTTATACTCTCCTCGTGTGTACAGGCTCACTAGCCGGATAGTCACCAAGCGACCGACACTAGCCAGATTTACTAGCCGTCTGCACTATCCCCGTGTACAAGCACCTTTAGGTCCTGATAAACACGTGTGCAAAGTTTCAGCGAGCTGCGTTCTTTAGTTTCGTAGATATGTTAGGCTCACTGAAACTGTTCAGTTTCAGTGAGCCTAAAATCAGTTATAAAAAGATCGGGTTCCAAAGGCCGGATCCCTTGTGAATCAAGTCACGAAAAATTCAAGAATCGGCAACAAGCCATGTGATCATTTCTTTCAGTGCCGACACTTCTATTCTATTCCAACTGAAACCAACAATCAAATTCATAATTTTCTTTTCAAGCACAGTTGACCTAAATTTTTGCTTCGAGTTTACTTGTGAAATATTTCGGATGAAACGAATAAATTTGGTGAAAGAATGTACAAAAATGCATACAAATGAAGGAGCTCAGGGAAAAGTTTGCGAGATTTCCTTAGGTTTACTTTTAGTAGAACTCCAACACCACGGAGTTCGGACTTCGGAAGTTCGGAGTACGGACACATCACTTGGAATATTAGATCAGTAAGCTTGTTGTTACACGTCTGACAATTTGCGTATAATATTGGAACTTCGAGAAGTATTTTTAGCTTAAAATTGTGAACATACCTGTCACCGTCTGCTGTGGCATTGGCAACATCGATTAAAAATATAATATTAATTGAGTCGCACCATCATCATATAAAATGGCACATTAGCGATTAGGAGTGTTACGAGTGTATCATCTGAAAGCTGCAACCCTGCAATCACACTTCATAATTTCACAACCATAGCCGGAGAGAGTCAGCGGCGTTCATACGGTAAACACCTTACGATTGTGCTCTGTGATTACTAGAATTCCTCTGAGATTAACGTAAAATTTTCCTCCGTGATTAACGTAATACTCAGAATACCCACACATTTATCAACTTGATTTTGAATTTGCTCTTCTGTATACTATGTCATCCCATCAGGCAGACCTGTGGCTTTATGTCCACCCAGCGTGGACCCCCCGCAAAGAAGAAGAAGACAACCATAGCCCTGATATTTTTATCCCATACAGTGAAACACGAACTGACAATATGATTAGTATGAAATTTATGGTAATAATTAATATGGATCTCCGAGACTCCAGCTGCCAGCCGGCACTTGGCAGCCTCTCCTCTTTTGTTTTCACCTCTTCAGGCTCTTGTGAAAATTATGATGATGGCTGATGATGCTGATCTGATGCATCTTCTTGTCAGCCTAGTTACTATCTGAATCTGATTATCATTATGCCAATGCCAATGGTTCATAACATCATGGACTGACATGGAAATTGGAATCATCACTCATGTCATAGGATGATAGGTGCAGAGTGCAGACTGCAGCTGTGCAGCCTTGCAAGCAGAGTGCATACCATGCAAAATTGCAAATAAGGGAAGATTCTGTCCAACAGTAGGAATTGCCAAATTGGAGACTTGGATGTGGAGTATGTACATAAATTTGTTATTTTTAAAAATTAATACCTATTGAATTGTTTTTTACATCACTTATATGATGGGAAAATTGGGAGCACAACCATGCACCACTAAATTTGTGCACCAATCAGCCTTGAAAGGAATGCCTATTGCCTAATGCCCTAGCATATATCCAGATGACCATCAATCAGCTGCGGATTAAGCCATCCATCGCCGTCGGTAACCAGCCTGTGACTGTTGCGTGACATCATCTTGCTTTAAATATTAGGAGCTTTACGCCACCACATTCTGAAGCAAATAGCCCAGAGACGCAGAGAGTAATGGTTATGCACCACTGAATGTTGCTTTGAATCATCACTTCATAGTTCCTACCCTGACTTTAGCTTGAAGTCCTTGAACTGTAACTTGCAGACAATGGACTGCAATCAACCAGCCCAGGTCGCCAGTGGAACTGCTGCTGCATGCATCCTGCCGTGCACCACCAGACCGTCACTTTTAGCTCAACATCCGGGGTTAGGTT